TCGCTGCCCCTTCCCAGCACTCCTTTGACCTGGAGCAGCATCAGCCCGGCGACACTGGGTGGCACAGAAAAAGGCTGGAGAGGATGTACAGTGTCGATCGAGTGTCGGGTGAGTCCTGGGTGCTGGAAAGACACAAAGGGGCTCATGGACACAGGGGCTGAAGGGTGACGCTCGTCCTGGCATGGACACTCCGTGGCCATGTACCTCAAGTTGGACCCTGTAGCGTTTCTATTTCAGTACCTTGCACCAGCATTCATGGAAAGGGATCATTAACGGGAGAGCTTAAAATAAGTTAAGCTCAATTTGAGGCCAGCTCACCCAAGCCCCACTGCCACTGCTTCCAGCTTGTCAGCAGTGAGTGACCTGGGTGCCTTTCACGCCAGCTTTAGTGAGAGTGATCTCTGTGGCTGCCTTTCTGTGGAAGGAAGCGCCAGAGAGGAGGGGCCGTGTCAAAGTTCCTACATTTATGCTCAAACAGGAGGCAATTCAAGGCAGGACCCTCTCTCCTCTGCCTCATTCTGGGGCTGAGGCAGGTGAAGTCTGTGTGAATGTGCCAGGGCACTCAGCGGGAGCCTCGGCTCGGGGGTGGTCTTCTCTTCAGTGAAGCCTTGAAAAGCTCGTCTGCGTGCCTGGAAGCAGGTCCCTCGCGTAGCGCTACCTCACGGCCTTTCCATACCTACTAGCAAATAACACAGTACCGGGCTTCCTTCCCCACTCACTATCCATTAGCTCGATATTTTCAGGAAATAGGGCTTGTAATTGAATAATTAACTTAAAAAATACCCGGTTGTCTTTAAAAACTTGACATTAATCAAATATATGTCGCAATCTATGTGCTTTGAATTAGAAGCTAGTCTGCAGTCCATCTTTCCCTGTCAGCTCTACATGTGGCTGTTGAAGAGTCTGACCTAATTTGTCTGATTTTTATTTTTATTTCTTATAAACACACGTCAGGGCTTTTAGAGCAGATTGTCCAGCCGGGAAAGGTCAAAGTTTTCTCCATGAAAATAAATTGAGTCTAAGGACCGTGGAGAGCAAACTGTACATCTTCCCTGCATTCATAGTTTTCTAGCAAATACCGTAGTGATACTTAACTGCAGGTAAGAATCACAGAAAGATTGGGTTTTGGGCTGTATTTTCATGCCTAGGTGCTTGGAATTAATACATGGACTAATACTTAAGGGAAATCATTAGAAAATAATTGTGCAGAACACCTGCAGTCCTGTTCATTCCTGTACATGATTTTTAAGCATTGTTTCTCTGTACCCTGTGATTTTTGGGCTTCATGTCAGACACTACATAGGCAAGTTTTAGACACTATTATTTTTATTACTTAAGCACAAGAAAAGGAAGCGCAAGAGAAGAGTGTCGCTGGATGGAAACCTTTTATTGGTTTATGGTCATACGTGTTTCTGCTAAAAGATGGCTCTGCGGATGATGACACAGGCGGAAAGCTTGTGTGAGGATAGAAGTGTTTGTGTGAAGATAGAAGTGTCCTGGTTTGAGCTGGAACAGAACCGATTCGGTCCCAGCTTTTCGGGAAACGAGATCACCATCCCCAGAGACTTGGTCTGGCGGAGGTCAGGGTGCCACGTTGGGTCGGTCGCGGCCCCACGACATGTGCTGAATTCAGAAAGTGAAGATTTTTCTGTTCTAGTGCCCATCGTTCTATGTGAAAAGCTTTCCTGAACAAATCAAAATCGTGCTGTACGCTGCGGGACTGCAGCAGGTTACTTACTGCGGACTGAAAGGAAAGCTCCAGATCACTAATGGGAGGGTTTAACTCCTCACAGCTGGAGCTAAATGCCTCTGTTTGCTGCAAACCATGTCCTAGCAAATGCTACAGAGAGATGCCATGTTCCATGTCTCGGCCTCGGGATTTATAGCACGTATTTTCAACCAGGCGGCAGTTTTAGTACGGACCAGTTCTCGATGTGAAATGGAGCTTTGCCTGCCTGTAAATACAGTGGAGTAGTTACTGAAATGGGAACAACGCTGAGCCTGCAGATGCCTCCGCGAGCATTTTGTGTTTCGAACCAGCCAGCAGCAGCTGCCCCCGGTGCTCGCCTCGAGCTTCCGAGCGCTGGCACGTGTAGCTGCAGGGGCACCAAACCCCATCCCAGCACTGGCATCGTGGAAGGAAAGTTTTCTCAGCTTGGTCTCATTTACGGTCTCTATCCAAGGGTTGCTACTCAGAGGAAAAACAGGAATTGAACGGCCCAACTTGTTGCAGGTTGCAAGAAGGATTTCTTGGAATGTCCTTCATGCCTGGCTAGCAGAGAAGGCAGAGCAGAGCTGAGTGGAGGCGAGAGGGAGAGACCGATTTCCTCAGAGGTTCACTTCACAGCGCTGCTTTCTCTGTTTGAATTTACATGACACGTTATTGCTGCAAACCAACACTCGCGGCAGTTAGGCCAGATTGGCATAATTTAATATGGATTTTTCTGCTGAATTTATGATGCCGAACACCATTCCAGAGAAGCACAAGCTGTCGTCTCCTGTGCCGATACAAAAACACATCCACTCCTGGGCAGAGGTGCTGAGAGCTGCACGCAGCCTGGCAAGAGGCTGGAAGTGTTGAAGCTGGAGATGTTAAACATGGTGCTATTCCTTCAGTCTCACCCAGGCCTGTGGTTCCTTGACTGCTTTGTCACAGTCAGTGGTGACAGAAAAGGAGAATGAGATGATCTGCCTGGCCAAAAATGAGCCTTCTACGGGCTCCTGAAAGCAAAATAGCCATACTCATAATCTGAATTTTAATTAGCTGGATGAGCTCTGGCGCTGAGCTGTGCTTCCTGGTCCCCAGCTTTGTGCTCGTCTGCTCCTGTTCTGCCTCTGACTGGTAAAGAGGCACCTCTGAAAGGTCACAGATCCTTTATTTTCCACGGAGGGCTGTGGGTAGGGGAGTGATATCTTTCCTGTATTGACTCTTGTCTCCCAGAAAAGGAGGGGAGGCTTCCGGCGATTGTCCAGGCAAAGGCTCAGAAGGGTGCTGGCTGCTGTTCTTAAGCTCTGCTTTGAACCGAAGCTAGTGGCTTAAAAGCTGTCAAATATATTCAGAGATTGTCGGTCCTTTGAGATGCGTAGTCCCTGAGAAGTCTGTACGGAATTGTTGGCTAAAAAGGAATTGGTACAACTTCTCCTCCTTCACCACTTTGTGGGTTTGAGAATTCAAAGGAGTAATTCATTTACAGCCTGAGCTGTTTTGCGTTGCTTCTCTATCTGTTTTTTATTTGAGGAGAGCAGACATAGGAACTTCATGATAAGTATTTAGCATACTGGAATGCAATTTTCATTTAACATATATATTTCCCTAGGGTGCCTTTATACAAGGCTTGAGATAAACTGTTAGCTGAGAAGGAGTGTCTGCTACAGTTTTCCATAAGATTTCTTGGAAGCTTCACTTCAAAGGAAGCCTCCCCAGTTGCATTTAACATTTTTTTGCATCCGTAATTGCAGCCACTTTCAGGGAATGGCAGGATCCGTCTGTAGTAGCTGATGATCTGTACAGAACATTTGGTGAGATATCTGTAGTAGGCACGCAGAGTTTAATTGTGTTTTGGCCAATGAAAGTGATTTAAAAAAATATTCTTGACAATGCCAGAGTATTAATGACTAAGATACTGCAGTTGTTAATGATCTTTAAATTTGAATGAGTGAAAACACACGATCGGCAACATGTGGCAAGGCATTAAGCAGGGAAGCCACAAGCTGGGAGTGAAGCAAGATGAAAAATGAAGTAGCTCCAAACCCACTGAGATCTCGCACGTCTTGTGTCAGTGGATTTTCACATGCCTCTGATTCCCTGCCTGACCAACTCCAGCCCGAGAGCTCCCAGAGTAAGAGCTGCTCCTTGGTCAGCTTCCTCCTTCCGGGCACCACCATCCCACACATAAAATTTGTGATTTATTTTGCCACGTGCTTTTTGCCTTAGTGGTCGTTACGTGAAGATGCGGCGTCCTAATGCCAGCGGAATTGGGAAATAATCTGCAGTTGGTTCAGGCAGGGACCAGATGAGCACAGAGTTATCTGCAGATCGTGCAGAAGTGCGTTTTGACTTCTAAAACCAGAAAAGGTCCTGAAGGCCAGGACGTCAGGGGCAAGTGTGTGGGGGGTTTACTGAAACTTCAGAGGTAGAAAAACATGATATCTCAGTCTCGCAGTTATGAAGAGAGGAAGGTGAATGTTTTTCATCTTCCGTGCGAAGCTGTATCAAAAAAAATGGGATGAAAGGACAGTTTCAAATTAATGGTGCTAAGGAAAAGGCAGAGGCTGGAAAATGCTTCTAATGAAAGATGTTTCTTTCCCCTGTGTTTATTTTCTTGTTCAGATGACTTCTGTAATTCCTGGATTATTCTAATCTTCCACATTTAGGACAGAGTTCTCCTTCTTTATTCAGTAGCCTGATGGCTTAGCACGTGTTTACAAAGCACTTGGTGGTGTGTGTATAGGTGAGGAAGGCGAGACCCTCCTGCTTGGTAATGGGCTGGATCTGAAGACAAGTACTGAGAGAAAGAGCTTAGAAAGTCTTTCCTGTCTGAACGATGTCTCTGCCTGCCAGATTCTCACATTTTGCTCTCTCTTTTCCAGATGATGTCCCCATACGAACCTGGTTCCCGAAAGAGAACCTCTTCAGTTTTCAAACTGCTACTACAACTATGCAAGCGTAAGTGAAACCACCGCTGTGGCTTTTATTGTGTATCTTAAAGTTTGAGGCCCACTCAGCACTGGATCTGAGAGCCTGGGGCGATCCAGTCGTATGGTTGGCACCCCAGTCTGGGGGTGAGAGAGAGAAAGAACTTTGTCTCTTATTAATTTCCTTTTTTGCGCTTACTAGTTCTGTTTCCTACTGCTCCCACGTGTTTAGTTTTACCTTCTTTAACTCCTTGGGCTACGCAGCTCTTCTCTGCTTCCCTCATTTGCTCTGTGACACCGTGCCCTCTTCCTGGCTGCCTCTGCAAAGCGAGGGTCCCGTGGGAGCACCAGCTGAGACCCTCCACCACTTGCTGCTGCTGCAGCCCCTGCCCCAAGGTGACATTATTGCAGGCTTGCTTTGTGTCCGTCACCCCAGAGGAGTGAGCCTTTATAGGATGAGGTGTAGCCCTACAGCTTCCGTGCTCTCCTGGTCATTTGAAGAAGGTGTCAGTAAAATCTTGGCAAAGTGTGGCCAGATCTGAGTTCGGAGCAGCCTTTCCCTCCACAGCGGTTTGTGCCCCCAGTAGAGGCAGTTCTTGAAGGACTGAAGAGAATAAGAGAAGCCTCATTTCCAGGTGGTGCCCAGCTTGTCAGGAAATGCTGTCCTCCTGATTTCAAGTATTTCTTACTTAGCTGGAAAGCCAGGGCAAGCAATGAGGGGAATGACATGCTGTCCTGCCTTCTAAGGCCCTTCTCCAGCCTTGTCACCTTTTTCCTGCATCCTTCTTCCCATGCCTGTGTCACCCTCAGCTCTACTGCTCCCTCATTTCTCCTGATGCGTGGTGGTGGGGTGCTAATCCCTCCCTGATAGTGGGAGTGAGGAGCCTCCGTGGGCTTCTGCTCTCTGGAATGTCCTAAAGCCGCTTCTCTTGTTGCGATTTTCAAAGGGAGGGTCGCAAAAACGACAGAACTTCTCTACACGTAGATGCCGGCACTTCTTTATTGCAGCGCTGGGAAGCTTGGAAATCACCCAATGCTTCGAATACCTCACAAAAATTCAATCTATTTATACACTCTTTTACAAATTTATAATATTTTAACATAAACATGCATATACTGTCGGCTATTAATTTTAACCTTTATAATGATTGGTCCAACCCTTATTAATATTCATATATCTTATTTCCATACAATTGCTGGCAATTGGGGTGAGACCACATTTAACCACAACACAAAACTGGGGGAGTAGGGAGGTAGGGAGGCCTGACCGCGTGAAACGCAACCTATTGATCTGTGTAAATGAAGTATGCTGGTATTGTTATTAAAGCACAGGTGCAGTGAGACCAAAGCACAGGTGCGGTAAAACCAAAGCAGAGGTGCGGGTGAGACCTTTTCCAAGTACAAAACATTCCCTGCCAGCTTTGCAGCCTGCACAGCTCTGGCTTTTGCTAAGGCCTACACACGACTTTTAGCATAAGTAAAGTTCTATATTCCTTATCCTAGTATAAATTAATAAGCTAATTTAATTAAAATGGTGATTAGCCATTCATTAAGCAATTAGCTCCTTAAAACTTAAGTTTGATTACAACACTCTCACCTGACCCCTACATCCCTCTGCCTCCTTTTCAGGGACTGTAAATCTGGTGGCATCTCAGCTGGTTTTAACCCTCCTGGGCACCAGGCTTGTAGGGCCTGTGGGCAGCCCTGAGGGTGACTTGGCAGATACTTGCTTTGCTCTTGAAAACTGTTGTCTGGTAACAGGGAATGGTATTTTACAGTTCTGATCTGACACTGCGCAAAGCCACCAAACGTTTCCTTTGCCTTTGGGCACGTGCTTTGCTGCCTGAAGTCGTCTTTGCTGAGCACAAGGTTTGTTGCAGGTTGGTGGCCCATGGCAGGGCTTCAAGGCCAGAGTGAGGTTGCTTGGGGAATGGTGCCCTAAGGAAGCCCTCGAGGAGCACCGTGCCCTTCGTTAACGTCGCTCCTTGGGTAGTGTTTCTGGAGATTCTCTGCTGCCTCTACAACTTGCGTAGAAAGAAGTTCAGGGCACCTCCATAAGCTGGTTGGGATGGCTCCCCTGGGTGCCTTTGTCCTTTTGGCCTCTGCCGTGGTGTTTTCAGCCCCCCATGCTTGCTTCCTCCATAGCTCAGACAGCGTGAGCTGACTTCCCAAGTTTTTGTCCCTGTGGGAGCAGATTTCCCTGCTCCAGAAGCCCGCGGTGCTGAGCTCCCGTCATAGCCCCGTTCAGCTGTCAGTTGTACCTCTGCACGTTCTCTGGGTCTACGCGGAGCTTAATTTGCATCCAAGCCACACGGCAACACTGCCCCTGGGAGGATTTAACTTGGTCAAGTAGGACACTCACCACTGAGAAATGTTTAATTTAAAAAGCAATTTCCTTCCACCTAACGAGAAATATTCCTTCTGGAGTAAGAATTCCCTCAGAACGCTGGTGAGGGCTAAGCACTAATGAATTCCTCTTCTTTCTTTTTCCCCCTGCATCTCCTGGAATCTCTAGCATCTCGTAAGTACAATCTTTCTTTTCTTTTATTTTAATTTCCTTGTCTGTTGGTGTCCTGGATAAACTCTCCTCTCCTGTCCCTCATATTCACTCGTGCTTTCCCTGTGCTAGGGCTGTCTGTCGGCTGGCAAGAGAGACCTTCATGGATCCCAGTGCAGCCATCCTCACCTTCCAGCTGGAGGCTGCAGTCTCTAGCATGCTTTTGCCCCTCTTGATCCTGGTGTACAGAGATTTGTGTCTGCGGTCTCCTAGGTCCCTTCCTACACAGCAGGGATGATGGCTGCTTGCTTCCACTCTTTGGGCCATGCTCTGGCCACTTTTACATTTAGGAGCAACTGCTTGTCCTGCGACCTACCCTAGAGAGTGAGGACCTTTGGTTTGGGGACTCTTTCGCCTGGCCCCTGACTCGCACGCAGCCCTGCCAGGACCGGCTGTCTTCCTCGGCGAACCTCGTCTCTCTCTGTTGTGTGGCGAGAGCTTTCCTGTCTGTGTCTCGTGTCCTCTCCAGTTCGAAGCCGTGTAGTTGGTTAATGGCTTAAAATGGTTTCCCAGGGCGTTCAGGGGCTACGCAGAGAGGAAGAGACGGAAACGAGAGAATGATTCGGCAGCTGTTATCCAGAGGTAGGGCCCGTTTTCCCCCGCAGCTGTAACCTTACCTGGTGTTGCATGGGCCCCTCGGGTGTCATTAGTGACGCTTGATGACATTGAACGTGGTCGTCCCTTGTCTGTGTGGCTGTTCGTGGGGACACTGACAGTGGCCCTGTTGGAACTGTGGAGGTGAGTGATGCTGCAGGGCTCAAGATAGGCCATCTCCATCTTCTTAAAGGAACACTGTCAAGTTTCTTTTAAGCTTCCAAAGCTAATATACGGAATCTGTGTCTCAGGCAGAAAAAATCCGTATTAAAAAAAATGACAGGTGCAATTTCCACAGCCCTCACCCCAGTACTTGGAATTTGTTTAAGATTCGCTGAATGCTTCTACGTGTTGTTGCTGCATCTACAGAGGCATCTCAGAAATCTGAGACCTAGGCAAAATGGCCATCTCTAGCAAACAGAAGTCTGGTTTTTAAAATCTTTTCTTAAAGAACAGAAAGGAAAAAAGGGAATGAGGACTGATTTCTTGTCTGGGTGTTACAGAAGGGCCCTGGTTTCCTTCTGTGGACGTCACAGGGCACGTCACTTTACCACTGTGGTAATGAGAGCTGCTCTGATTTTTTAAGTCTACCAAGGCTCATGTAATTTGGCAGCCTCCTAAGAAGGATATCAGAGTGGGAGAAAAATATCAGGTTTTCTGAACTGGGAAATTGCCAAGAATTTTAAATTTTTTTTTAGCAGCTCAAGGGTGGTGTTTTTTATATCAGTAATGAAGAGAAATAAGAATCAAAACTAAAGATGCTGTAAATAAACAGACAGTGTATCTTTAAAAAGAAAGAGATTCCTGAAAATTTGTTAGACAGAGGCAAGTCTTTGTTAGAAAAGGGCTTGTTCATGTGGCTCGTGAGTACAGGATTGGAGTCGTGTACCTTGGTGATGCTGTGTGGTCAGGATCGAGGACGGAGTCATGTCATCCTCATGCTGAGTGGCCACCAAGTCTCTTCACCTCCGGTGGGATCTGAAGGCAGGATCAGACAGTGCTGAGCCCGTCTACATTTATCTTGTCATAAAACAAGCTGGAACAGGCTGCCCAGGGCAGTAGTGGAGACGCCATCCCTGAAAGCGTTCAAGAAAGCGTAGATGTGGCACTTTGGGACGTGGTTTGGTGGTCATGGTGGTGTTGGGTTGATGGTTGGACGAGATTAAGTCGAGGCATTTTCCCACCTCAGTGATTCTATGACTCTGTGATTCTAAACCAGGCGATAGGATAGCAGGGATGGATTTGGGCTGTGCCGAGCAAGCAGACCCTGACCAGCTCTGCGGACTGCTGGCAGGAATGAGAAGGAAGTGGGAAGGATCCCAGCCGCACGGCGGGTTCGGGTGCTCATTGTGCAGCCCTTCCTGGCCTTGGGTGTTTGGGAAGTTCCGTCGTTACGGCACAGCCCTTGAGCTGTGTGCCTGGCGCTCGGGGAGGCAGGTTTCCGCGGCGGGTATCACCTCGAGGGCGAGGGATGCCCAGTGGTTTGCTGAAGCTTGTGACCGCGGCGAGGAGGAGCTGGGGAGGAGGAGAAGGTGGTGAGAGGTGCTGTCGGGAGTTTTTTGGAGCGTTGGTGTCCTTCGGTAATTCTGCTGCTGACCTCTGTCTTCTCTGCGGGGCGCGGAGTGGGGCTGGGAGACCCTTTGGCAGGGGTGGGTGCCAGGGAGGTGGCACAGGGTCGTGCAGACCACGCGCCAAGCTGGGGCCTGTCAGGAGGAGGACTGTTCAAGAGAGGGAGTAGTAAGGAGATTTTATCACCGTAACTTGAGGGACGCCTGTGGAATTTGGATGAGTGAAGAGATCGTGCTGATGATCAAATAACAGTGGGTTTTGTGGAGCCAGGCGGGAAGGCTCGGCAGGTTCCTACAGTCCCGGTGCTCACAGAGCAGGTGGCAGCTCCCCCCCGGGGGTGCTGTGCCCGTCCTTTCGTGTGAACGTGCAACAGAGGGTCCTGAGGACCAAACCAGCTACAAAAAGCCCTTGGATGGATCTAGATGACCACAGGTTGTCCCCATTAGGAGGCAGTCTCAGGCTTGCACCTCCTTCCCAAAGTACTTTTTTCCTCAGAAGATACAAGCAAGCAAAAAAAAGGCCTTTGTCCCATTCTCTGAGGATTAGTGCCGTGGTTAGCTCTGAGCAGCTGGATTCTCCCGGGAGCTGCTCTCGGCAGTGTTCAGGAGATGCATCCCGGCAGCTGCCCTCAGCCCGCACTCACGGGAGAGACCAAGCTGTCTGGGCAGCTGGGAGCAGCTCTGCTGTGGCAAACACCGCTTTGCCCTCCTTCCCTCCAGGGTCTGAAGAAGCTTCTCTGTGGAGAGGTCAACTGAGCATTTAACAGAGAAATGGATTTTACTCCAAAATGCGAAAACCCCGAAGGATGTAACGGTGGCCTTGGCAGTCACAGCTGGTGCTCAGTGTCTGGTATGATCTCGGTCTCACGGTGCACCATGAAGATTTTCATTCTCAAGAGTTACAGCGCATGCCCAAGACCTTTCTGTGTAGAGAATGACCTCCATTCCCTTAAAATGTTTTTATTTGGATTTGAATCTAACACACAGTAAGACAACCCACATGATCAGTCATCACACACCCCAGAAGGCTTTGTACATAGAGCCAGGCCAGCGTGTGTTAGTGAAGCAAATTATTTTAGTTACTTGTCCAAAGAGGGCAGTTGTCTGATCCAGTGAATCTTCATGTACCCAAATAGAGCTAAAAATGAATCTTTGAAAAGTAATGTTAATAGCCCAAGTGCAAGTAGGAATTTGTCATGGAAAAAACGTTGCTCCCAGCTTCACTACCCAGCTTCTAGTTTTCTTTCTTGAGTTGCTAAATCTGGATCCTGATGACATCGTGGGATCCAAGGCCAGAGTTGGGGACAGCACAGAAGGAGGCAGGAGTTAAGTCGTGTCTCGCAAGGTGATTCCCTCTAAAGGAGTAGATAGCAGTGACTTTCTCTGAAAAACTTCATGTCAGTGCTGGAAGTGTCGTCTAGTCCAATTAGTTTGCTAAAGCATCTGCATGGTGTAACATGTCCTTACTCATCCCACTAACCTGTGTGTGAGTGAAATGACTTGTCATGTCACCCCGGTGACCAGAAGCAGCCCCTGTTGCTTGATGTCTGCGGTGTGTGCTGGTGGGGGAGAAGGGAGGCCGGGAAGGCTCCCCGACTCCGTGATGGCTGCAGGTACACGGGCTTGCTGCCGGCCCTGGGAGCTGCACCAGAGGGTGAAGCCTCCCCTGACTGAGTAGGGTTCATGGAGAGGTGACACTTTTCTTGGTGGTCCACGTGCTGCTGCTTCCCTGTGTCTCTTCTGGTGTCCTGTTTGGTTCCTGTCCTCTTTGGTTCCTGTCCAGGTGAGTGATGAGCAGCAAAGGGAGACAGGTCCCTGCACTCGGAGGGGCTGGACAAAGAATCCCTTTGCCGTGATCTCTCAGGAGTGGCCAGGGTGGTCCCTTTTACACACACCTGACAATGGGGTGTAGCTGCTCCCCAAGGCTTACCATCAGGTGGACTGTGTGCTCCACAGCCCTTCTAAGCTCTGCCGGCGAGTCCTGGGCAGGGAAGGCTGCGGCATTAGCCAGGAGCAGCCCCCTGAGGACAGCCAGCCTCGCTGGATGGTGCCACCTGAGAAGGAAGAAGCTGCTTCAGTCTCTCCCGGCTCTGCCCTGGGTCGCAGTGCAGGCTGTGTGGTTGCTGACAGCGTAGATGGGGTTTTGGCAGCTGCTGTGAATGTGTGTGGGAAGGGGCCCAGCCATGAGCATGGGGTGTGCACGCTGCCTCGCAGGGCAGAGCCTGGGCACCCCACTTTCTTGCTGAAGCTCCTGCGGAAGAAAGGAGAGAGGGGAGCAGTTCCTGCTCTTCACCAGTAGAAGAGGGAGCGTTGCCCGCCAGAGCAGTGACAAAGTTGCAGCACAGGTTTGCCTTAGTCGTAGGGAAGTGAAAGCAGGCTGTGAGAAGGGGAGTGCCATACAGGACCTCACTTGACCTCTACCACCAGCCCAGGGAGTTCAGAACAAACAGCTACACTCGTGACAAACAGAACCATCTCCAGCACTGAGTAGGTGCTGGCTGGGAACCTGGTCTTCAGCTTTTGAATGCCTGGAAGGAAGTGTGCAGTCTTCCCAATATTTAATTTTTCTCCTCCCGGTTTTTTCGGTCCTTCTGGGCCCACATATTGCTTTGTATTTACCTTTCTCAGAGGTTGTGTTTGACCTTTCTTTCAGGAATTTTCGGAAGCACCTCCGCATGGTGGGGAGCCGAAGGGTTAAAGCACAAAGTAAGTGAGCACCTGTAAGATGTGGCTGTGAGGAGTTGGGCTTTGTGCCGGTGGGACACGGGGAACCCTGTGCTGCGTGCAGAGACGGGTAGAAAAGAACCCAGCACTGGGCCAGAGAAAGGATTTGACCTGCTGGTGCCATTTTACACTACAAAAAGGTTGTTGTAAGTCTCCAGGACACACAGATGTCTGCAAGCAGCCTGTGAGCTACTTCCTCTGCCTTGGCCATGGGAGACCTCTATGGCTTTGGTGCAAGGAGACCTGCAGTGTCCTTGTCGTGTGTGTGTGTGGTTTTTGGTGATCGCTGGCATAGGTTCTGGTGAGAAGAACCAGAGCTGACAGCTCAGCAGAGCTGACGAGGGCTGCCTGGTCTCCTACTGAAGCTGCGGGCCGGCCGTGGCTCCCTGGAGACAGCCAGTGCTTCGTGTGCCGTGTGGTCTGGTGGCTTTCTGCTTTTCTCCTCCACTGTCCCATCAGCATCTCCACAGCAGGACCTGGGGGAAAGCTGCCTGGTGGAAGGGAGAAAGAAGAGGAGCAGGGAAGAAATTGGAGCAAGTGGGAAATAAGGGAATTCTACACCTCGCTGGGGAATAAATCGCTCTTGATGCCTGGGAAACAGCAGTTCCTTTTCTCTCTGTAACTTGGTTGGGGCAGCTCCCTTGGTGCTGTGAAGTGAACTGAGAATGGTGTAACCTTCTCCCGAGAGCTGAGGATTGCTCCAGAAGAGGAAACAGTTTGTTCTTCCCACCCCCTGGCCAGGCGTCACGTGCAGACTGCCCACAGCAAAGTGTTGCCGAGTTGAATTTGCATTCTTTCCTCCCCTTTCTCGTATGCGGTGGGAAGTGAACAGCAAAGAACGTTGCCCTTTAAAGTGTCTTTATTGGCATCTGAGTTAGTGCTGCCTGAAATGAACAGGGCTCACATCCCCCTCGAGTTGTCTGGAAGTTCAGACGTGCCTCTCTGCCTTGGTAACTCTCGGGTCATGTTTTCAAAGCTTTCTCCACGCGCGCAGTAGCGAAATGCCTGGTTTAAAAAGAAAGATGAGGATGAAGATCCCCTGAAGAACTTCCCTTGTCATTTGTCTCCCTGGACACCCGCACTTGGACACCCTGCAGCACCGGACAGGTTGCTTCTTAGCTCTTGTAATGCAGATCTGCACTGAATTCCTGTGCTGCTGACATCACATGCAGTTACTAGAGTCACGGCAGCAAACCTACTCTGCTACCAGAAATAGGTATTAGTGGCTATGAGTGGCTGTTAATCTAGATGTAACAGCTCTTACGCTGGCTTGCCAAGTCGGACGTTGAGGTTGGCAGTTCCCAGGAATTTGCCTGCGGTGCAGCCAGCTGGGCCAAGATCTCTGGATCCCGCTTGAGAAATGCCGGTACAAACAGTATAATCCCTCTTGGAAAAGAAAAAAAAAAAGCAAAAAAAGCTGGAGGCGGAGTGTTCGCAAGAGTGCAGGCAGGCAAAAACTGAAGGATTTCCTCTTCTGCAACAGAATTTAGAAAGCACGAGCTTTCCAGACGCCCCCAGCTCTGGTCGAGCTCTGATTGGGATGTCACTAGAACATGAAGGGAGAACTACTGCCTCCTCCTCGTTGTGTATGTGTCATTAGCTGTCGAGTAGATCTTCCCGTGAGGCCTTTGAGTCAGAGCATTTACAGTGGGACACTGGAATAGCCTTGATTAAATTGAGGTTTGAGCTGTGTGCATTTAAGGAGAGACCATCGAGTGTCCTCCTTTTTCTGTGTTACATACTCAGTAGTGGCCCTGCTCAGAAAGCAGGCGCTTTGTCTTCTCCTGTCTAGAAGATAGACCTTTGTTTGCTGTGTGGAAAGGACTCGCACTTGGCAAGTGGAAGAGCAAGCCCAGGGGAGTCTGTGATGTGTGGCTTTGGTGGAAATCTACTGGATGTTTTGTTTTGCTGGCAGCGCCGGAGGTGGCTTTGGAGTCTGTTAATGTCGTGCTTTGGTTTTATCCTAGCATTTGCCGAACGGCGTGAGAGGAGCTTCAGCAGGTCCTGGAGTGACCCGACTCCCATCAAAGCTGATTCCTTCCATGACTCTCGAGAAAGTGAGTTCCGAGTCCTTTGAGCTTCCTCCTGTGGCCAAACCCTCCCGCTGAGGTGTTGACTGAAGTCCCACTGGAGAAACTCTTCTGTGCCCTTTTGTCCCATCTGTGATCCTTTTGGTTTCGTGAGATCTGAGCAAGTAACGCTCCAGGCATACGCACCTGTCCATCTGTGTGTACCTATATTTATTTGTAGAGCACAGCACATCTAACTTCGTGGTATTGCGCAGTTGCCAAAGGATGCCCAGAGGTACTGCTCTCTTACAACCTTCTGTTCCCATCATCCCTGATTCACTTGGGACCAAAACAGCCTACCTGGAAAGCACACCAGTCCAAGGCTACACTTACCGTAGTGGGGCTAACCCGCCTGGCTTCCCGTGCAAGAGCCCCTTCTGAGCTCCTTCCTAGGCTAGAGCAGCTCAAGGGCACGACTGTGGCTCTCCATGAGATGTACCTTTGATTTCCTGGCCATGCTGGCGGCAGAGATGCTCGCTTGGGGCAATCTCCTCTTCATTTAGGCTGCCAGGAATCCCTCTGGGAATCCCCAGTAACACTGTGATGTTCTGCTTGTGGGGACTGAGATGCTGTTGTGTTAATTTGCGGGAGGAAATACCAGCATCTTCCCCCTGTCTTTTGATAAAGGGAATGGCTGTTTTACCCAGATTTCAGTGAAATCCCGTAGGCAGGGGACTTGGTGGATACGAGTTGGCCCATGTTGAAATGGGTTGCATTGTAAATAAACTTCACTAATGTAAGGAACTGACCTACCAGGTAAGCACGGGATCTAGCCCTCCTAGCTATAGAAGACACCGTAACCAGGTTATTGGGGGAGATGTGTGAAAGGCCAGGTTCAAAACATGACCCGATTGTTCCTTTGCAGCCTGATTCCTCCCTGCTCCCTCAGCTAACTCAGAGGCAAATGGAAAAGACATGGTTCAGACAGGCTCCGGGCACTGCCCGGTGATACTCGGACAGTCCAAGAGGCACATGTAGAGGCATCTCGGTTCTCTTTCCTCAGTCCCTGGCTTCAGGGAACTATCTCTAATTTTAACCTTTAATGGTCAATTATATTCCTTCCAGATGTTTTTTTCCCCAGGAGGCATTGAAGGCCAACAGGTAAGGTCAATATGAAGAAAAAATCCAAGTAAACTGTTGCACTACTCCTGTGTTTGCTACGGTTGTCCTCACACTCTGGGACTTCTCTGCCAGGATCTGTCTGCGTTCTGTCTCCTTCTCCATTTCTGAAATGACAGGGTGGCTGTTGTGAATTAGCATTTGAAAGCTAAACTTGGTGACTGTGAGAGTGATGAAAAGTTAATGTGGTATGTGGTATCGGTCTCTGCGTGTGCACTCTCATTCGTTAAGTGTTTGTCTGTTTAGAGACGCCAGCCCCAAAGTGTGATGTCTGTCACTCTGTGGAAGAAAGGAGGGCACAAGTCTCATGGCCTGTGGTACCTCTTGGTACCAGACAGGATGGAGTGGGGAAGGCAAGCTGTTCTGCTCTTGTAATACACACTGTGTTCTGGCAGGCCATGACCTTCAGGACTCCTGCGGCACTTTGGATGGCGACTTTGACTTGAACTGGGAAGCAGAAAAGGAACTTGAAGCCATGGCGTGTGACGGCGAAGACTTTATTCCACCAAAAATAATGGTGAGGGTTTCCAACTCAGCTCCCTCTCTCTGCTCAGGCTCTGCCTGTCCTTTCAGAGCTGTTAAGTTTAGAATCTTCATGGGAAGAGGCAAATCTTTTTGTGTAGGCAACTCTTCAGGTGTGTGAGGGTCAGTCAGAGATCAGCCAAGACATGACGTGGTATTCAGTGCCTGTAACGGCTGTGCACAGTGTGTTGAAAGAAAACTAGAAGTGGGAGGACCTGTAGTCCAACCCCAAATCGGAGCAGAACTGTTGCCAACACTGAATCGCGTTTGCCTCTCAGTAACCCTGACAAGAGAGACCTGGGTCCCCAGTCCTAGTCCTCCCTCCTGTTGTTACTTGCCTGATTCACGTTGGAGCCGTGTGTCACCCACTGAGGTGCTTTCGGCTCTTTTGTCGTGCCTCGGTGCTGGGCTTCCTCCTGTGCTCCCCCTGCTCTGCTCGGTGGGGTTTGTCAGACAGGACCAGGTTCTGACACGTCCCTTCTTTGGCCGCCTGTACAAGTGCTCGAGCAAAGTTGGGTCTTAAGCTTCCAGCTTGTTCTGAAGGCAGCCTTCTGGTGTGGCACAGCAGAATGTATCTGAGTGGGTCCTGCTGAGACTTGGGAAGAGTGAAGGGCACGGAAACAGTCTGGTTCTGCTGTCTGTGCAGACTTATCTCTGAAGAACCCTCAGGACAAAGTGTCCAGGTAAGACCCATACACCAGGAGCCCAGCACTTGGGTTTGCTCAGCCGTTGACACCTCCAGTGTGTCTGTCACAGCTCTCTGGGCTGGGCCTCTTCAGAAACCTGGTGTTAACTCCCACGTGGCTGAAGCAGTGATGTGCTGCCTGCTGCACTCTGGCAGCAATGAACAGAGATACCTGAGATCACAGCACGGTCAAATTGCCCGTGTTCCCGTAGCCCTTTGGCTTGTACTGCTGGCAGGCACATCCTCTTGGGCTCTCCTTGCTGATGGAGCCGGCTGAAGCTTCAGCCCGAGTTGCCAGGCAACCTGCATCTGCCTGACACCGCGGCTGTGCCTCCCTGCACCTGATGCCTTTCATCCCCTGGCTGCAAAGGACTGGTCTTTACTGGGATACGGCTGTTGTGGTGACGCACAAGCTTCTGGTCTTCTGTGCACACCCATCTCACCTTTACTAACTTATCTCAGACTCGGTCCTGCCTTTTAGGCAGAGCTGCATGTTTGTTTGTTGGGAGTTGGAGACTGTGGCACGTCAGGCTACTTGGTGACGTGTGGGGCTACTTGGCAGGCTCGGGGGTGCTCTGTGGTGGACCGAAGGCTTGGAGGACCTTCCGCAGGGATGCAGAGAGGCTGGATTAGCTGCTAGGATGGGTAACACCTGAGTGCAAGTGTGACAGTTGCCTTTGTGCTTCTGTCCAGCCTATACTGGCTTTTTCTCATGCTGCTGCACTATTTTATTTATTTTCTTCCCCTTCCAGCTCATTTCTTCCAAGGTGCCCAAAGCAGAGTATGTCCCAACGATTATCCGCAGGGACGATCCCTCTATCATCCCCATTCTCTACGTAAGTATGTCTGTTACTTCTGCTCTGCCCTGTCTGGGATGTGTGGGAGCACACTTCATACAGAGAATTTTTATTTTTCTTTTGACCCTATCCCTAATTCCTGTTAGGGTGATTCTGAACCATGGATGAGATTTGGAAAAGCTGTCAGGAAAGGGCTGTGGGTGTGCCAAACCCAGATTTGATGTCTGGGGTGGCTTTGTAGGGGCTCAGGTCTAGGTGTAAGAGTAATTGTGTGGAGTGAAAATTGTACGTGTGGGCTGCCAGGCACAGCCAGGCAGCGTGGGGGGGTGGACAAGGGGAGGCAGGTGAGCACCCAAGCAGAGCTGTGTGTTGCCAGGCTTAGGGCTCCTCCTTGTGCTCACCCTTAGACGTGATGAGCAGGACCTTCATGCTCTGCAGCAGACCGTGAACGCTGTCACCCTCTGTGCAGAGCTGCAGCCCTGTCAGTCGTCGTTTAACCTTGATTTTTCACTATGAGAGCACGGGCCAAGAGGCAAATACACATTGTTGATGCTGACAGCATCTGATGATGGTGTGCTTTGGACCTTCCTGCAGGATTCTTCTTCAAGCTTTTGGATGGATTTGGTCTTCATGGACTGCTCAGTCTTCAGCATCTTTGCTGAGACGTGATTCAGGGTGGCAATTACTGTGCTGTGACTAGAAGCCATCAGTTACTATAACTGCTCTTAAAGCATCCGTTTGCCTGGGAAGGGGAATGTGTGCAATAGCAGGGACTATAATGTGGCTGTGGGAGCTGGTGTGGTGCCAGCAAGCCTTGATATGTCTTCTCTCTTGGTTTCCAGGACCATGAGCATGCCACCTTTGACGACATCTTAGGTACGTGTGCTTCCTTTTCTTACCTCCAGCCTGTTGCAAATCTAACGGATCAATATCTTAAAGACTTTCCGCTGCCCTGTGGCCCAGCTGTCACTCACAAAGGTGTTTTTATCACCCCAGGGACACCTGACAGTGATGGGCTGGGGCTTCCTGCTTTCCACAGCGCGAAAGCACAGAATTTTCTTTGACATCAGTGGGAATGTCTTAGGTGCTGAGCACCTCTCAGCTCAACCTCCTGCCTTCAGGACTAAAAGAAATAAGATTTGATTTTTAAGTTCCTCCGTGGTTTACCTTTTCCAGTATGGTTTGTGTTTGGTTTTTTTTTTGCAGAGGAAATAGAGAAGAAGCTTAACATTTATCGGAAAGGCTGCAAAATCTGGAAGATGCTGATATTTTGCCAGGTACACGGAAGCTGTTCAGCACTTGGGTGGTTTGTTACAAGCTTGGCTTTTTCTATGGGGAAAACAACATAGAGGAACCGATATTCCAAAGCCAGGTTTGGTTCCAGTAACTGCACATCTACAGCTTTCACTTCTCATTTCCCAAGACACCAAGCAGTCTCAAGCTGCTGTGACAGCAGGAAATAAAGTCTGATTTGGTGTGGCCAAGCCCAAGGCTGAGCTGCTGCTCAGCTGCTTTCAAGGAAACCCAGGCAAACCAGTGTTAGCACAGACCTCGAAGGGAGAATTCCAGAACAAGCATCTGCGATGTGATAGGTGATGGTTTTCATACGCCTGTAGTGTGACAGTGGCACAGGGCATATTGTAGATCGGACCGGCAGGCGGCACAGCTGGGATGGACGCCAGCGTGCGTGGGAGTGGGGTCAGGGTAAAGATTTGCTGAGCTGGAGTCAGCAGACTCAGGCCCGGGGTCTCACCGGGGATTTCCTTCCCAAGCCTGTTGTTCCTCAGGGTGGTCAGCTTTGGATTTCCCCGGTATCTGTGCAAAGAACCTTGAAATGAGAAGTTAGGAAGGAACTTGAACGCCCTGCCACGTGCCTGACGCTGCAAAATCACAAGGTTTGCAGCACACTGACCTTCAGGATTGCGACTCTTCATTTTCCTGACGTTGTGCTCAGTCTTTTCATGTCTGCTACTGCCAAAGTCCAGGTCTTCTACAGTGATGTCTTTCCTGCTTAACCCTGCTTTGCTCAGCTTCTCATCTGCCAACCCCAGCAAGTCCCCTACCGTCCCCGAATGAAAGGCGCTCTCTCGTCTTCCCTGTTACTCTCTACGATAAAGATTTTTTTTTCTGTTATTGTGCCCCTTTAGAGTCAGCTGGGCACATAACAGTAAAAACCAGAGAATCCAACCCCCGACACTCTCCCCATACGAGAATGCTTCCTTGAACAAGGGCTTGTGGTGTCTGCTACCGAGGTTGTAGCGGCTCTGCCAGCCCGGCGTGCCTGCTCTGCTCCCTTGTGGCACTGCTGGGTACGGCTGTACAGGCCAAGAAACATTTCTTCAGTGCCTGTGCAAAGAGTTTTGCATCTCTCTTTCTCTCTCTCTTTCTCTTGCAGGGAGGTCCTGGTCACTTGTACTTGTTGAAGAACAAAGTTGCCACTTTTGCCAAAGTGGAGAAGGAGGAAGATATGATCCTGTGAGTGGCTGCGTTATGTTCTGAGAGCATTTTTCTTACTGTTTTGCTCAATGTTTGTGGCACATGGCCTAGAAGAAGAAGTGGAGGGAGCTGGGCTGGCTTGGCCAGGGGAAGAGGAGGGACCTTACAGCTCTTTTCGGGGAGAGCTGCAAAGATGACAAGACTGAGCTTGTCCCTAGGGTGGTGTGGCCCTGTGACAGGTCACCAAGAGATTCATTCTTTTATCTGCCGCTTAGCATCTCTCTGGACTAAAGACTATCAGAAAAGGGGGGAGGGAATATATTTCCTCTCCTAACAAAAGGTTTGCTGACCAGAAACCAGAACCTGCACCTCGTGCCTCAGAAGTGGCTGAGATAGCGCTTCTAAGCAGGCGACCAGTGGCAGAAATCCAAACTGTTCTCCCCACTGCTGTCTCCAGTAACTGCCCTCCTAATTGCAGGGGGAAGTGGAATTTGTCTCTGCAAAGCCTGCTCAAAGTCCAGCAGGATTTTTCCTCCTCAGCCTGTCAGCCGAGGTCGCTGAAGCAATTTTGCTTCTCCTTGCAGAGAGTTAAGCTTTGCCTGTTTTGCTGCCTGCTCGCTCGTGCTGGCTCAAACTCACTTGGCTAAGAGTGCTTCGATGTGGGGGAGAGGATGTATACCAGCCTGTTCCTCCACAACTTGTTGTTGACATGAGAACTGAGTATTAAAATCAACATCTGTTCAGCGCTCTCATGCTCTGGCACAAACAGCATCAATAAAATTCTTCAGCACGTGCACGCATACACGCTTCTGAACGCGTTCCAGGCATGGCTGGTCTGAAGTTGGTTCCTCCACAACCTTCAGAAAGCTGTGAACACACAGCTGAAAACTTGGGTGCTTGGGAGTAAATGTCTCCAGCCGACCTGCACGTCCCTGGAAGATGGTCCGGAGAAAAGCTGTGGCTGCAACCTTTTTGCAGACCCCACAGAGGAGCTGCTGGGCTTTAGTGCCCGCCAGAAATCTGCTCGAACCCACGGCACAGGGGAGGTGGTTGGACCTTGTGTTCCTTCGGCACAGCGTACCTGGTCACTAGTCACAACAGCATGTAAAGAGAATGACCTCTCCAGTTGTCCTCTGCTGATTTCACGCCCTGGAAATGAGCCAGTGCCCTGATAATGCTCATATTTAGAAAAGGCAATTGTTGACAGAAATGAGAAGGAGAAAGCTGGAGAGAACTGCAACAAGGAAAGGATGCTTGGTAAAAGTGTCGTTCTGAAAGCACTCCTGGTAGACTTTACTCCGTTCTCTTCGCCTTGGAGCTTCCTTGGCTCGATGGGATGCTCCTCCTCTGCCACATGACTTGGACAGGCTCCTCAGGCCCTTGCTCTGTCCCTGCTCTTCCTTATCTAAGAACCAAAGGCTCTTCCTGAGCCACCTGCCCCTCAGGCCTCTTCTGAGCAGTGTGCACACACACCCTTGTGATCACTTGTGCATATAAGGAGATGGCTTTATTTTTGTTCAGTTTATGTGTTCTGTTTTTTCCTGTTTCATCCAGCTTCTGGAAGAGGTTGAGCCGGCTGATGAGTAAAGTCAATCCTGAACCAAATATCATTCACATCATGGGCTGCTATGTTCTTGGAAACCCCAATGGGGAGAAGGTAAGAGCTTCCTTAATCACCTCCCTGGGTCCACGCCCAGGGATGCAATAGTCACACGGGGAAGTCTCAACCTTCCTTTTCTGCTGGGTGGGAATGTGCTGCCATCATGTCCCAGGAGTGGCTGTGAACTGGTGAACCACCTTGTGCATTGTGCCTTCCCGAGCGGGCAGGAGAGGAGTAATAAGTGACATGCAGGAGCGGTACTGAAGCCTTTGAGAAGAGCAGTTATTCAAAGCACTTTATTTATTTACTGATGAGCTAGGTGCCTTGAAGGACATGAGTGGAATGTTTTCTAGAAGTAGGGAGCAAGGAAGGGTAATTCTGGGTGCCCTGAAGTTCATCTTTGTTTTCAGCTGCTAACTTTCTATCTGTTTTCCTTTCAGCTATTTCAGAATCTGAAAAACTTAATGAATCCTTATAGGGTTGCCTTTGAGTCTCCACTTGAACTATCAGCTCAAGGTAATTTATTTTCTATAGAAGGACACACGCTCTCCTAATCATCCTGCCTCCTTCGGTGGGCACCTTCCTGAAAACAGTCCTTCCGAGCTCCCTCAAGTCCTGCCATGGTCTTCATTTCGCTTGTAGCCGCCTTGTGTTTTTCAGTTGCTGAGCCTGATTTTCCCCCTGGAAAATCATCTGCCCTGTTTGTTGTGCCTGAAGCTCCCGAGCTCTCTCCCAGGCTGCTGGCAGTGCCAGAGGAACCCAAATAGTAGGTGGCTTTCCAGGCTGAGTTTAGGAGATTCATCATATTACGTGGGCATGTGAAGTCTGTGGGAGAAAGGCGTGTGGGAGCAGAACATTTTCGGTAACCGAGTGTGCAGGAGTCTCTTCTCCAGTTTCTGCAAGTAGCTCAGGCTATTTCAAGGGGCTATAGAATTTCTCCTTTGGTCAGTGTAAGTAATTACAGGTCTAGTTTCATAAGCAGCATATTCTGGATTTGCCCTTGTTATTTTAGTCCTTTGAATACTTGGTGCTCCGGGGAGATAAAAGCATGCAGCTGTAAGCACTGCGGGTACTTCCCCTGCTGCCCACAGCGGGCATCGCCACTGGTGGGTGATTCTTAACTCCCACTTTACTGTTGCAGGAATATCTGGGAGTTGAGCACAATCCTGCTGCGCAGAGTTCTCTGTGCGTGTCCTCTCGAGGTTTGGACCTGGCTTTATACCCTGCTGGCACAGATCCCTCAGCTCATACATGTGTGCCAAGAAGCAACTCGCAAGGTGTCGTGGGTTAGGGCTGAGCCAGCCACTAAAATGCAGAGAGACACGCTCTAACCCCCTCGTCCCCCCCAAAACGCGAAGGAAAAGGGAATGAGGCAGAGACTTATGGATTAGGAAAGAAAACTAAAACACCTTTAATGAAACAATAATGGAAATAATAGTGAAATGATAAAAATAAAGAACTATATACAACTATTATGTAAGTCTGATATCGAACCTGACTCCTCCCCGATACCGATCTCCACCGATGCCACAGGGCCAGCGGCACCGAGGCAGGCCCGGGCTCAGCGGCCATGGGAGCTGGATAAAGGGAGCTGGATTTGGGAACTTGGGATCAGGATCAAAAGCAGGAGTTGGGACGGAGTCCTCCCTGGATGCCGGCCATTGAAATAAAAGAGAATCTAAACTCTCGTGATCACTCAGTTTATACTGAATGTCACATATATGGGATGCAGTACTCCTGTTGGTCACCTGTCCTGTCTGTTACCCCCCGGGACGTGCAACCTTGTGCTTCCTTGTGACCCCTCTCAGTACCCGGTACCCCCAGGGTGGCACACAGGAGCCAGCAGTGGCCTTGGGCACTACAGGAATAAGTATCAGCAAGAGCCTTTCTGCGTCCCAGTCCCAGGCAGTGGCTGTAACATCAGGTGTTATCACTGCACAAACAGGCTGCCAGCTTCAGACAGTGCCGCCTTTTATAGGAGACTAAACTGGAAAGTAAAAATCACTGAACAGAATTGGTTTTGTTTAGCTCAAACCAGGACACAGGGCAATTCCCGGGTTTAAGTGCAGCCTGGCAAGCGAGGCCGCGGGTTCTGTGTGCGTGCATTCAGCCGCTGATCTTTCGGCAGGCTGGGCCGAAGAATACGTCTGAATTGATCCCCTCGATCAATCTGGGACGCGCTAATAGCGTACCCTCTGTAATCCTTTGCAAAGTCATCTGAAACTAATCTTAATCAGGCCTCAAAAACGAAAATCCTCTCCTTGAGCCCTCTCTGACGAGTCCAGGGTTGTTTGTCCTTGTGTTTTCAAATGCGCTCGCTGCCTCCAGTGCCAGCCCCGGGCACAACTTTCAGCCTGTGGCTGCCTGGAGAGACCCCCCGACCTCCGATCCGAGGTGCCGGTGGTGCAGGACTTGCACATCCGTGTCCTGGTGAGCTCGCTGCTGTGAGAAGACACAGCTCTGCGGGACAGAGACAGCCTCTTGACACTAATTTAAAAAAATTATAAAAGGAATCGAATTTTCAACGTTGTTTTAAATGTTTCCCACAAATCTTTAAGAGGGGTTGTCTCTTGATTCATAGTTTTCTGAAGTCCCCGTGCCGGGTTGCCTCACGCCGGCTGTGGGAGCTGTTGGCTGAGCCTCTGCAGCCCCTGACCCCCCCTTGCTGCAGCGGCTGCTGCAGAGGGGTCAAAGTCTGGAGACTGACTCCATCAGCTCCTGCCCCCAGGGACAAACCCTGCCAGGGGATTATTAAGGAGCCTTTCATGGTTTGAGGAGGCCTAAAAAGACATTTGTGAGCAGCCCCACGTGCTGTGGGTAGCTCGGTATTTTCCAGACGAGGGGTGCGGAGGGTCCCCCTCTGCCCCCACCTGTTGGTTGGGGCTGGGGCCTCTCACATCCCCCCCGCGTGCTGCGGGTATAACCTCTCTGCTTCGTTTCTCCTAGGTAAGCAAATGATTGAGACTTACTTTGACTTCCGCCTTTACCGCCTCTGGAAGACCCGCCAGCACTCGAAACTCTTGGATTACGATGACATTTTGTGAGCTGGAGAAGCCTTTGCGAGAGGAAGTTGGTCGCCGGTGTGCCGAGAAGTCGTGCTTATTGCTGAGAGACTCTTTTATTGGCACGGGGAGCCCTTCAAAGCCCTACAGGAGGTGCTCGAGGGAGGGAAGGAGGAGCCCTCGGAAGGAGGAAAGTCTCCTGGGTCAAGAGAGACTGGAAGGAAAGGGTTTGACACCTGGCTCGGCTCGGGTCAGAGCCGGGGTGTCTCAGGAGGAGCCGTGTGAAACGAGGACAGGATGGGAGTTCCTTGCAGAACTGAGCTGTTTTGGGTCAGAATGGGCCAGATTTGATTCCAGGTCCTTTTAAAGACTTTTGAAGCTCAGGTTTTCTTACACACACACACACACACACACAGAGAGACACACACAAAATAAAAAAAAATTATAAAAAAAAAAGAAATCAGTTACCCATGCACTACAATGAAGAAGTGACCAGAGCACAGAGGACAGAGGGGTTTGTACTGAGGGGACCTTCTGTGCTGGGGGTCTTGGAGAGCAAGGACTGCTACACCTACTCCTGCAAGCTTAGATCAAGACGATCCAGTTTCAATGTGAATATATACTGGAATATAGAATTGAAATCTAACTCTCTTTTTTTTTTTGTTTAATAGAAAATAAGTGCAATTTTTATAGCGAGAGGGGTAAAATCCCTCCCAATATTTAATTAGGTAAAAATAACACACCAGTAACCAATAGATGAGGTATTTTTTTGGTCTGCTTGAAAATATATTCAAGATGGTAATATATCTTCTGTAGACGTATTTAATCACCAGCAAACATGGTTTTAATGTAACTTAGCAGACCCTGCATGTCTGCTGCATTGATTAATGCGGTTTGGTTCGTTACTTTCAGAGTAGCTGTGTTGCACTAATTGTACGTGCTCTCACGAATGTGTATTTCTCCTCCAACTAGACACAACTTTGTTCCTTTCTATTTTGCTGCTTGCAAAACTACGGGACTTGAGTTTTGCTGAAATACTTTAGGTTAGAAATACGGTCCCTGGCTGGGAAACCTCTGTCAGGACCACTGTGGTATAAAAATGAATTAGAAATTAATAGCCATGGTGATTAACTTGTTGATGCCAGTGCTGCGCGTCGAGAGACGAGCTCTCTTTTTGGTCGGCGGAGCGGCGCGGCGCCACGGCCATCGGGAAACCCTCCGAGGAGCCTCTTCGTTGGGAAGAAACACTTCGGGAGGAAGGAGGGCAGCGTGGGGTCGGAGCCCGAGGGTCACTCTGCCCGGTGTTTGCCAGGTGGTTGTCCACCCCTTTCCCAAGGCGGAGAAGAGCCGTCGGTCCGAGCTGCTCACGTCCCTTCTGTTGCAGGACGGAGTAAACCCGGAGCTTTGTCGGAGCAGCCGTGGTTTGAGAATGTGGATTCCTACTTGGTGTTTGAGGATGTGTTTTGGAATATGTTTACTTTTGGTTTTGTTCTTTGTTTAGGTTGCTTTTTGTTTTGGGAAGGGTTTGTTTTGTTTGGTTTTCCATCTTCTACTCTCCTGCGCAGAGGATAAGTACTGCTGACAGTCTGCGTAGGCCACCCCGGCAGTTCTGAGAGGTGACCCAAGTTATTTCTTTTACAAGTAAAATATACTAGAGAGTAACTGGGAAGGATTACTTTGGTTTCCTGATTTCCGGGTATCTAAATTTAGTTGATTGTGAAGTGAAGCAAAATACATGTACAAATCTTCTTTTAAATACTTACAAAAGGACCTGGTTGTCCTGACCTGTAGCGTGCTCCTTCCCCCGTGACATAACCTGTGGTTGTAATTTTGAGGAGCAGGCTTCTGGCTAGAACTGCTAAACCCTGTACATTTATAGCAGTTTTATAGCAAAACTTTTGAAGAAATGATGTACATAGAGTAAGTAAGGAGAAGACGAGGCAGAGAGGGACGGTTTGAAGTCGTTGAAAGCAGCCTCTTGAACCGGAGAGGTGGGGGCTGTTGCCTCTGCCTCTGGTTGGAGCTGGTGGACCCGGCGAGGTCGGTGCCTGGGTCTGAGCCCCGCCGGGACTCTCACCCTCTTCGCTCGGTCGCGTTTCCCAGACGTGTGGTGAAGAGGATAATCGGCACTGGGCTGTAGCTTTTGGAAGAATGTGCCAGATGTAAAAAAGAAAACAGAATTTCTGCCAGTTCTCTGTTATTTAGCACGGTGGCTTCTGCCAGCTGGGCGCGGGAGAGGCGGGAGCTGTAGGTGCGATGAAAGCGTGAAGCGACGTGTGGTTTGGAGAAAGTGGCAGGATTCAAATGCTGTCAGAAAACTCTCTCCCTTTCTGACCCTTTTACCTCCTGTGGTTACGCTCCTAACTGGAGACAGACAAACTGTTCTTCCTTTCGATTTTCTCAAGTAAAAAAACCTGATTCAGTGAACTTGGTAGCATGAATGTAGCATTGTGGAACTGTTAAAAAATCTTATTTAACTCTGAAAGGGCCCGTTTATGTATCCACTTCAGTGATTTCTCTGTACAACTATTGTGTATCTATCCTCACTGACCACTTGTAGAACTAGGGGTGCGTAGTAGAGAGGTAGCTTGTACAGTTGTGTGACTTGTGTAGGCAGGTGTGTGTTTGAATGAACCTCACGGGCTGTTTCGCTGGTGCAGTTGACTGTAGTATCGTGAAATGACAAACGCTGAATGCGTTTCTCTCTTTTCCAAAGATCTATATTCCTCACGGTTCGTGGTGTTTGTGACATGAGCATATTATTTCCTTTGTGTAGTGTTCATTTGACTAAAGAGATGAAATACTCTAAGAGCTGTGGCTGGAGAGACTATTTGATAGAGTTCTGACGTTGAAAGGCTTTTGGGCGAATGGCCTCACTGATGTGAACTGTTTGTGAAAGAGGAAAGGGCATTTCTTCCCCTTTTTAACCGGTTGAATTTTTCCAGTGGCCGTTGGGAAAGGAAGGGATCAGCGCAGGATAGGATGCAAAAACAAATTTGAAGAATAATAATAGAAAAAGTAATTGTTGAAACTTTATAGTTAAAAATAGAGCCCGCAACTTCCTCAGCTGGCCCAGCCTGGACAGGGTGACTCCTGGGTGGCGCGCGGCAGGGTCACGGCCAGGACATCCCTGTGACAGAGACTGAGTGCCCGTTCTTGCACCCTGGCACTTTCGCCGGGGCGAGGGCAGGGCCAGCCCCAGGGCTGCTCTGCCCGAGGTGCCATGGCTGCGGCGTACACGGGACAGTTTTGTCGTTCCACTTCCACCTGCTGCCTCCAGCTTTCAGCTCCCGGCTCGTGGGGCGCGTCCGTCTGAAACCCTGAAACCGGTTTGTTCGTGCACGGTCTGTAACTGCCGCCCGCCTTGGCTCACCTCTCGTTAGGGTAATGGGAGCGAGCGCGTTACGGGCCAGTTGGGCTCCCCTCCCTGCCCGCAGGGTTAGAGAATGGGCAGCCCTGTTGTGCTCAGCCCCACCGCGGGGGAACTGCTGC